ATTTTTATCCTGATTCCTGTTTTTCTAGCAGAATGTGGTGAAAAATAGACCCAGTGAGAGCTGTCCTACCAGGGATAGCATCATTATACGCTGTTTACTTTTCCAAAATTTTAACTGAGACATGAACAAAAGAATCTTTGCAATATCTCTTCTTGCCCTCTGCTGCTTTTCTCAGTGGCATATTGCTCTTCAGCTGTTTGGCATAACTTTTAAAATTAAGATTAGCAAGATGCTATCCTAAATGCATTGCTAAAGCATCAGAATCATCTCTCTTACAGATCCAGTCCTCCAATACAAATTCCTATGGAAATTAATGGGCTGTCTGAATTCCAGTGCAGGATTGAGACTTTATAGTGTAAATCAATCAATATAGTGTAAATCGGTCAATACAGGCAATCAAGTGAGTCAGGCAAGGTTTATGCTTAATACACTCTTGCTGTCATCCCTCATTATTCTGTTCAGGTTTGTGTAACTCAAGCATACACAGGCAAATCCTTCAAACCATATGGCTTTGCTGGGTTCTCTCCATCCCTTTACTTCACATTTCATACCATTGCTGGTTTTTTTTGGAAGTTGTAGTTATGCAGTAGTAATTAAGATGGAAATCCTTCTCTTTTTTTTTTTTTTTTCTCCTTAGAGTTTTGTTACTGAATATGGTTCTGGTTTTGATATCAAGGTGTGTTTGGGCCATTCCGACCTTCTCCCACATGTTGATGTGGGTATAATTGGTGGACAGGATGCTGCTGTAGTGGGAATATGGGAGAGAGATGGGGTGGTCACAGGGCCAGTGTGGGGTCAGGACCTGGATCTCTCTCTTCTTTTCCTTGTCCCTCTCTACCCTGCCAGGTTGGGAGCTGCTCTCACCTGGCCAGTCTGACCAGATCTGGCACCCACTCTGCTTCCTTCAGGAACAGGGCAATCAACCAGCTTGTCTTAAATCAGGGAATTGTTTCACTTCTCTGTAGGAATCGAGCTTTTGGAGGATTGAAAATTTTAAAAAACAAAACCCGTTTTAAAAATGCATTTCCCCTTCCCAAACCCTCCCACCTCATGGCTGACTCATGGACAGACACTTCAGTAACAAATAACATCTTTTGTTTTTGTCCTTCAAATAGATTTCCCAGCTCTTTTAAACTACCATACACTTTCTTGCTTTTTCTCTTCCAGTTCTCCCAAGGATTTACTGACACATGCTGTATCAGCTTAGTTTTATTCTCTTCCTGTTGGCCTCCCCTCTAATTCCACACCCAAATATGCATGCAGAAATTATGATTCAGGACAACACACAGCTCTTCACATCTGCCATGAACCATCTGTATGACCTCAGGCAGTTTACTTCTCTGTTCCAAACTCTCCACTGTGTGAACCTGCACATGATTTCATTTTGAGTTCAGGAGAAATGTTAAGGATGACCACACACTAAAGTAGGATTCTAATTGCTTGGCTTTGGCTCCAGTTGTAAACAGTAACAACTGTTCTGGTCTCAGAAGCGTGTGGCAGCAGTTTATTACAAGGATTTATACTGAGCTGTGGTGGCTTGTCTGGCCAAACACATATGTCATGCAGAAGTATGTTTTCTTCCTCAGATGGTACTGATCTGCCTCTCTGCACAGCCACAGCCTGTGCTTGAGTCCCTCATCGCTCTGCTCTGCTTCACTGACTCATTTATCCTCTTTCAAACCTTGCAAATGGCTTTTCTCTCCAAATTCTTCTCTTTTTCACTGGAGAACAGGGCACGCAGCTTCTTCCCATGTAAATCACATTCCAAAACTTTGATGTCATCTTTATTTTCCTCTCTGGAATCTCCTGAGAAACCCTGCACAGGATGATTACCTTCATCTTATCTCATCTTTGGGAGAGACCTGAGCAGGGCTGCTTCACTGGACCCTTTAGCATCAATAACAACACACCTCTGTGAGTACCTCAAAGAGCAGCTTCTATATGGTCTGCCAAGTCCCACTGGGGCTGAGGAAGGGTTTTCACTAATAACACTGCAATTTTTTCTGAAGACAACAGGGAAAAGATGAGGATCTGGCAGTATGGTTTTTTCATTGACACAACTACTCTGTGAACTGTAGCATCAAGCCTAAAGAATTTCAATAAAGCCTCAAACTTGCTGTTTTTCAACCTTTCCTGAATGTTTACTCTTGAGGGGCTTTTATAAAAGCAAACTGACTTCCAGGGGTTTGAGTGACCTGGCCTTCCTGTTGTCTTTTCTGGAGCCATGTTATTAAAATAAAGCCCTTTCAGCTATTTTGTTGAGATATGGAAGGGTATTAGTGGTGTGTTGACTGGAGTACCCACTGTCTTATGAACCACCCTAAAGATGGCAAGAATCCCTCTGGCTGTGTGGGGGATCTGAAATGATCTATTCATAATTTTCTTACCTTGACAAAATGCAGGGAGTGACTCAAATATGTCCCATCCTTATGGAAATTAATTGTGTTAATGGGATCATTAGAATTTAGAGTAGTGTCAACAAACTGGTTTTTCAGCTAATGATGGTTCTTGGGAAGATTATGTCATAATGAAGGCGGAGAATCTGGTCATCTATATATATGTGGTCAGACCTGAGCCCTTTCTTTGGGTTTCATTGAGCAATGCACTAGTAGAGTCAACACAGGCAAACAGCTGCCACCCTCACCATGAAAATAGAAGGTGCCTCGTTGGTCTTTGCTCTGGCATTTTTCTGCTTCTTCTCAGGTTAGTAACTTCTGATGTTCTCTGTGCTGAATCTGGGACTGGCAGAGGACGCAGCCTGGGAGATCCCATAAAAACAGTGGGATAAAGGACTAGAGCCCTTGTTGTTTAAAGAGCATAGTGGCATAACAGAAGACCACCCTTTTTTTTGCTGTACTACATGTATTGATTTGATATAACGTCTTGATAATGGCTTTTGCTCTTGTGTGTGAAAATGGTGAAGTTTTGTTGGTAGGTAAAAGCATCTATTTTTAATAGAATTAACAGTTCAAGAAAAAAAAACCCAACCCAAACTCCATTTGTCTAAGTGAAAGAATACCAATTTCGAAACAGACTGAATTTTTGCATGAAAAGCCCAACTTTGAACACGAATGTAATACAATTTTTGGTAAATTCAGAAAAATGGTAATTTCTTGTCAACACTTGCTAAGGAATGCATTTTTATATGGCTGCAATAATTGGCTACAATAGAGAGACTTCAGCAGGAGTTATGTTTGATGTAATGGTCTTTCAATTTACTGCCTGTTTCCATTGAAAAAGAGATAATGGAGGATTTCTTGATGGTTCCCTGCGATGCTACTGATGATGTAAAAGAGGATGAAACATATTATACCAGCTTTAAGTGGCTTAGTAGAAAGAAATATGTATCAGCTACTCACCTGCTGACTCAGTATTAATTTAGTAATTTGTGTGAGGTATTGCAAATGGAATGGGCCTTGAAAAGGAATTTGTCATTTTGGACAAACAACAATGGTATAGCCTAGCTCTGATATCCCAGTTTTAAGTGATGGTGAAGAAAGCCAAAAATATTTTGTGACGTTGATACAACTACCAAGGCAGGGATGTAGAATAATGGAAAAACAGTTACTGAACCATCCTTGGATTTTAAGCCTGAGAAAAGGAACACAGTAAAGGAGGGCACAAAGGCACAAAATATGGATGTGCTTTTGCATTTGAATAACAAAAAGTGCAATGTTCCAGAAACTCTCTAATGCCCAGTCCTTTCTGTCAGTGTGAAATAATGCATTGGATTAGCTTTTATCGAGAGGTATTTGGGTGGATTAGGAAACTGCATTATTTTAATTAAATGCTTTTGGTTTAAAATTTCCCTTCAAAGATTTTTGTATGGTTTCATTGTTGGTTTTTCTGTCGCAGATGTTGCCAGCCAAGCTTCGATTAAGGCGAGTCCAACCTTTTCTATTCTGATTCTCCTTTTGTTTTGCAAACTTACGCTGCTTAATGCGTGCTCTGAGCAAAGTCATTTAGAAGGACTATACTTAGGCATCATAGTGCTTTTTTAGTGGTGGAAAAAGCAGTGAATCCCTTCATATTTAGAGACAATACTGTTATAATGTAATAGAGTAATGGCTCTAGCTGATAGTGTGTGTTTGGTGCATGATGCTGAGAACATATTCAAACAGCTGTGGGCTGAAAATCTCATGAAATGAAGTTAGAAATTGCATGAATTATATTTTTAATGATATTTTATAATATAGCTTCTGATCCATCAGAAACTCCTGCTTCTGATAATTCCTGAGTTTCATAATTAAAAGAATTAAGGCAAGTCCTTTGAGTCTCAGAAAATAATTTGATTCAATGACTGAGAAGTCAGTTCCATTCATGTTTTAATCAAGCAAGCTTGTCTCCTTGGTAAAGATCCTTTCGGAAAACAGAGTAGCCAAAAATAACTAAACGGTTCATTGCTTCTCCCTAGTCTGCATTCCAGTTACCCAGCAGATGAGGGAAGGGCTGCTGCAGCATCACATAATATTACTGCTCTGCTTCCTGAGAGGGTTGTACTTTTCTATGCTTGTCTTGCACCTGAATTGCTCTTGAGTCACTCTGGTCCGTTCATTCCTCTTGCATCCCTCTGGCACTTCTAGGCCTGTATTTTCTGCTCTTGAATAACTTTATAACATGGAGTCCTTCCCTGCAGCGGGTAGCAATTTGCATCTGTATGCAAATTAAATATATATTCTTTAAATATGTATTCCTTTTCACATGATTAATGATTCTTGCAATGGGTTTTGGACTTTCTAGTTGTCTTTTCTGCCTTGGGAGCTGTGAGCAGGGCTCTGATACAGCCTGTACCATGTGTGGTGCATAGTGAGGGATGAACAGGAGTGTGGCAGCCCCAGGCCTGGTGTGAGCAAACTGGTGCTGTTTGAGAGCATGTAGCACACCCAAAAAAGATTAAATGTGAATGAACTGTTCTCAGGATCTTGATGGGAGCCTCCACTGACTGTTCTCTGTGCTTTTCAGAATGAGTGCAGGAAAATTTGGTCACTTCTGCGCAGTGGGAAGTTTTCCTGTCCCACCACCAAGGAGCCCTTCAGGAGCCCGAATAGCAAAGGAGACCTCAACAAGTGCATGATGTGCCAAAGGCTGCTGTGAGTATTGGCTGCCTGCTGGCTCCAGTGGCCATCCTGCCCATCCACAACATGTCCTCTCCTGCCATAGTGATGAGCCCACTCTCAGGAGTCTCTGTGCTGTCCTGGGCCAGTCAGACCAGTTAGTAACTCTTCAGCAAAGCTGTGAACCCAGTCCATCTCTCCAGCTCATCGCATGGTGGGGACTCACCACGGGGTATGCAGAGTGAGAACTGACACAGATTTAGTTTCTTATTTCTGTAGATGGTGTTTATTAGGATGAGGGACCTGGATATTAGGCAGGGAGAAAGGATGGCACCCTCAGTGCAGAGATGCTAAACACCCAGTGCTGGTCCATCCTGCTGCCTTGCGCAATGGGGAGGTGGGGTCGGCAGGACTGGCCTTTAATCACCACCTGTCTTGGCTTTGCATCCAAGGACTGCAGCTGCTCCGTCACTCACGCCTCCCTTTCTTGCAGGGAAAGAGACTCAAACAAAGGGAGTGGTGGAGAGCTGGACAGGAATGTGAACTCCTTGGGAAAGGTGAGGTGAAACATCACTGCTGAAGCCAGTTTTATTGGTGCACTGGGAGCAGGATGATGCAGTGGCTTTGTGTCTCCTGCCTCTGACCCGCTTCCCGAGTGTGCTTCCTTGTCTGCAGTGTGGGAAATCCTGGCTTGGACAATGGGAAAAGGTCCAGCAATGTACCTGCAATGAGAACTGGGCAAACATGCTCTGCCATGGGAAGAGGATCTGAAGGAGTGTGAAGCTTTATGCCATTCACGAGCATAAAAGAAACCAAAACTCCTCACGGCTCCTCCCAGGCAATCTCGTCCCAATCGGGCAATTACCGACATGGCACATACAGTCTGTGCCTGACCCAGAGTACACACCAAGGAGGATAGCTGCCTGTTTATAAGGCACACCATTGGTATCTGGCAAATAATTAATAGCAAGTTTGGCTCATGTGAGCTCTGACTAGGGCAGGGTGTGGGAACAGGCCGGCTCTAATTGTCCCTTGTTTATCTTGTCGATGCACCTGGATGGTTTCTTTTACCCATAGCTGCCTTTCTAGATAGCAGGTCTTTATGTGGAGGGAGCTGCCTTTTTAGCCTTGGGTTTTTATTCTAGGTAGGAGTGAATTGGTTTCCATCAGATAGTGTTGGTTGTGGTGATTTATTTATTTATATTTTACATCTGGTTAAGCAGGGTAGCTTCCTAGCTCTTGTGTGTCTGGGCAAATTAAAGGCTTTGTAAAGCATAGCTGTCCTAAGGGGGATCTTTTTTTTAAACACCTGACTTGCCAAAGTGTGGTCCTGAAGGCAGAAGGACAGTTTTACAGCATCAGGAAGGGACCTACACTGAATTTCTTTGTTAAGCCATAGATTTTCTGTCTGGCTTTTGGCAAGTAATTTTCTAGGCCTGACTTCCCCATCTGCAGAGCTGGGATAAGTTATCAAACCATCTCCTCTACACAGCGCGAAGGAAAAAATATATTACAGATCACATGGCAGATAAGGTTGTAAGTGCTGCATAAACGAACCTAAAGACTTCCCATGTACCATGGGTTTCTCATGCTGCAGACCTGCCCTGAAAGTTATAGGAAAGCTGTTCGGAGGAAAGTAAAGGCCAGCCTGAAATGCTTAAGTGGGTTTTGCTACAAAAGCCTTTTGTGAAATAGAGTGCTTGGGTTCAATTAACACATACCATCACGTTAAGTGGAAGGTAAAAACACCCACGTCTTACTCTCCTGTACCTGGGAATGTAAGGTGTGCAAGGATTATACTTTTTTATGCCTGCAGCTTCATCTTTTTACTGTGCATGAATTTTAAAATTCTTGGTAGTATGTTCTCTCACGAGAGATGGGAAAACTGACTTTCTCATTTAAAATTCACTGCAATTGTAGATTTTATACTTAGAGCAGAACTTAGGTCCTTTGGGCAGGCTCTTGCATGTCTTTTCTGTTAGCGATAGAAATAAGTCTACCCTGGATGTAAAAGACAGATCTGCTCATCTAAACATGCTGATTTATTTGTTTTATGCTGCATGCTATGGTTTTCCATTGAGTTACGCCTCAAGGAAATAAAATCGTGTTTGAAATGTATTTCATTGGGTGAATAATCCTTTGTGGATTTGTGGGAGATGCGTCTCTGTCAGCATATCGGTGTCAACCCATGCTTTTGGTATTTGTACAGGATGACTGTCGGGAGTTTCGGGATCTGTTCAAGAGAGGGAAACTTTCCTGCACCAGGGAAAATGACCCTGTCCGAGATGCCTCTGGGAAGCAACACAGCAATAAGTGCATCATGTGTGCAGAGAAGTTGTGAGTAACAGAAAATAATCACTTGCCCCTCCTGCGGCTGATGAAGGGGAAAACCTCTCCTCCCTGGAGCACCCTGGTATTCACTTTCTCATCTTCCTTCTCTTCCAGCAAAAGGGAGAATGAACGGAAGTTATCTAAAAACAGACAAGGAAAAGATAAGGTGAGATTAAAGTATTAGGCAGGTCAATATAGAACTTTATTGGATTTCCACCCAAGACAGACAAAAGGCAATGTTATTCTACGCAGTTGCTCGGTCTCCTCTGACTTAATTTTGAGATCCACTTTCTTTTCCCTCCCTATTTATTATTCATGCTCTTGAATCCCTCAAGTAAACAACTTGTGCCTGAATGTCATGATCTGTCCCACTGACCTGTGGATCTAGGTACAGGCAAACCCCAAAAGAGTAGGAAACCAGCTGTGCTGTACTGTCCTGAATCTGGGCTCGAGGGTGGAGACATCAGTGCTGCTGACGGTGCTAATTAGGTGAAAAAGAAAAATGTGTGGAAAACTGAATCTGAACTCTGCACATCTTAAGAGATCATTGTGTTCTGGGAGGAAAGCTCAGCCTTGTGTTATCTCCAGACCTCTTGTTCAGTTTTAGCTTTTTTTGTTGGAAACCTTGTTCTCGTGGAGCTGCCACTCACCACCTTTTCCCTGGCATGCTGCAGCCACCATGTCCCTGTGCCCTGATGCTTTGCTGTCAAAAACAGCTCTGTAAGGGTGGAAAATAGTTGCTTTCCAGTCCTTACCTCTTGATTCCTGCTATGGTAGGGACTGGTGTGGTCCCCTTAAGCTTCAGTCTTGGGGATAATCCTGTTTTAGTGTTTTTCTAATGATTTTGGCACCAAAAAATAGAAGTATAAGTGAAATTTGCTTATGGTAAAGCTGGGAGGCAGTATCAGCAGAAGAGGATCAGCAGATCACTCAAGACTAATTGGATAGCACTGAGGCCTGGAGTAATAGAAACAAGATAAAATGTAATGGCACTGCAAGATCACACAGTCAGTGATTAACAAGAATTCATACTCATTGGTTAAAAGTGACAGAGGATAAGAAAGCTCTGCATTTATTAGTGGGTCAGGGATGCGACAAGCCACAAAAAAGGCAAATGCACAACTCAGATGTACTCAGTGAGATTTTTGCAGCAGAGGTCGGGAAGTTAACAGGGCTCCAGAAATGCTGGTTCAAAGGGAGAGCATTTGAGAGAGGCTGTTGGGGAAGGCAGATTTGTCTTGAAGGCTGAGGATTGGGCTGCTGAGCTGGGCTGGCCCCAGGGAACAAGACAGAGAGGAGCTGGGAGAGCTTTCTGTGCTAGTCATGGAGCAAAGGCATTGCCTGAACTGCCCAGGGGTGTGAGCACATGCTGGTGGTGGGGAAGAAGCAGCAAGGCTCTTGGGGAGCCCCTCTGAAGTGGGTGCAGTACTTATTTGTGGTGGGAGTAATGCACTGTGACTGCTGAGCACAGCAGGAGCAGGCTCATCCTGCACCGGATCACCTCTCCTACCCATGGCTAGTGTGACTCTAGGAAAACTTGGGGTTTTGCACTCAGAGTGGTTTGCCAGTGTTAGTGCTGTGGGAAAGCTGAGGGGATGGAGGCTGAGATGCTCTGGATGGGATGAGGGACAACACTGGGGAAATCTGGTGGCAGAGAGGAGGAGGTGCTATAAACCTCTGAGCAAAGCAAAGAACGAGGCCAGTGACCTGCTAGGGACCTTCATGCAAGATATCAAAAATCCTGTGCACAAAAAGGGCAGAAAATTGTAAGTGTTAAAACCTCTTTTGTAAAAAGAAAAGAGTAAGTGAAATTCAGTTACTTACCCTCTGTACTTGCTGTTTGGAACTGGCTATTGCAGTGTGTGAAATAGTTGAAATTAGGGAGGCCGAATGTTTCCATCCATGTTACATAACAGGGGCAAGTTAACACAGTTTCTGTGCAGCAATTTTGAACAAGGAACAAATTAATGATCCACCTGCCTCTGCCTGTGGACTATTATGTGTGTTTGCATTGTGCTTTTATGTTTTAACTGCTTCTTCTATATTGACTTTGATCCCAAAGTGTGGCTGATTTGGAGGACACTACTCTCTTTGTAAAGAAAATTATCTGAGCTACTATCTGGGAAAAGGCTGTAGCTATGTATTAAGGATGTTGGGAGAAGAGGGAGTGACTTATTACCGTATTGGTCACATCACTGGCATGCTTTGGATAGCCCAATGAGGAGAATAATAATTAGTTGGACCGTACTAGAAAACTCCCCAACACGTGCTGTGCAGGCAGAAGGATCTGGAATTTTTCTGACTCACTCCTCTGTTTATATGCTAAGTGACTGGTGCTGCACACCCTCTTCTCTCACCCCCACCCAGACTCTCCTGGGATGCATTTGTGATGGTTCAATGCTTTCCTGGCAGGGAAACCCAAGTTCCTAAGGGTCAGGTCAATAAGACAAGGAGGACAGGGTGCCCTAAACTGCTGCCCTCCTTCTGCAGGATGACTGCAGTGAGTTTCGCTCCCAATTTGAAGCTGGTGGACGACTGTCCTGCACGAGGGAGAATGACCCTGTCCGGGATGCCTCTGGCAAGCAGCACACCAACAAATGTCTCATGTGTGCCGACAAGTTGTGAGTACAGCTTCCTCTGAGCAACAGTAGCAAAGGGGGAAAACCTCCAGCTGCAAAACTGCAGCTTTTGATTGTGAAGCTGCATCTGGGCAATGCCTGGGAGAGTCCTGACTCCCAGTGGCCCTCCAAGAGATGCTCTGACAGTAGGGCTCCAGCCATTGCCCCTCTTCCTGCTTCCCTTTCAATGCTAAGGGCCTAGGGGCAGGTGAGAAGCAGCATGGAGTAGAGGAGGAGAAACAAGTTTGACAGAGAGCAGTCTCTTTCCCGGGGGACTGTTGGGCATGGGCAGCTCCTGAGGAGTTTCCCATGCATGTACTTTGCCTTCCAGATGCTCTCTCTCTACTCCCATAGAGCATATGCAGAAGCAGCCCTGATATGAAAGCAGCCACCTGGATCCAGGATGTAGCATACAGTGGGAATGGTGAGGAGAAGGGAGAAGGCTTAGAGGTGGGAATTAGGAACAGGACCACCAGGAACAGGGACTGTGGATGGGGAGGTGGTGCCTAATGGCATGATGCTGGCTTACAGGGCAGACCTGGGTGCTGGTGGCACTCGTGCTGCCATAGCACTACCTTTTTTCTCCTTTTCCCTTCTTCCAGCAAAAAGGAAGCTCAAAGAGGAGGTCAGTCTGGTGGAACTGGCCAGCGTAACAGATTGCCCACGTCAGAGAGGACAAACCAGGTGAGATGGAGCTTGGAGACTATATTGAGCTCAGTGAAAGAGTCTGGGATCTGGGTGGCCAGGGACTGCCTGTGGTCATCTTGGGAGTAATCAGGGTGCTTAGGATGCTGTAGCCAGTGAATGATGGGGGAGATGCAGATTATGTTGCAAAGCTTCAGTCATTTGTGGGATGGACCTGGGTGTAAGCATACAAACTGGACATGTTTGGACCTGAAAGAACAGCCCCTCACTTTCCCAGTGATGCTATATGAGAGATAAAGGACAGGTCCAGACTCTCCACAATCCTGTAAGCCATCGGATGACATCATTTGGTGGGTTTGGAGCGTATCAAACCTGCTTCTCTAATTACAGCACTGTAATTCTCTGGGTCTGGGAGGAGGAGGGGGGAGGGCAGGAGCTGCTTTAGCTTTGCCACTTCTCTAGTTGTATAAAAGTTGTTTCTGTGGTTGTTGAATGTGACCCATCTGCTTTTGCAGAAGAACTGTGGTGGTTCACGGCAGGGTGTAAATGAGAGACGTCCCTTCTCAACAGGCCGAGGGTGAGTTCAGCAGCACCTGGGTTGGCAACCTGTCCTTCCCCACATACCACAAGCCCTGGCACTGGTTTCTGCCCCCTTCCACCTACATGTGTTTTCCTAAGGATGGTCAGGAGGTTTATTGGAGCAGGAGTGTTTTGGCAGCACACAAGCAGCACTGTCTGTGATGGAGAAGTCCATGTTGTTCTGTTTGGTGCTCAGTACAGCATGTCTTTGCACTGGCTAAGCTGGTGATTGGAAAGAGGCATGGTGGGGCATGTTTCTCATGCAACCCTTACTCCTTTTTGGCCTTGACTTTGTGTACTAAGCACCAGTGATTTCTGTGTTCAGAATCCCTCTCAGGACGCTTTGTCCAGCAAACCCTGACTCCTGGCAGTGCACCCGTGGGTTAGCCCTGGCTCATCCTCATCCCCTGGCTCAGAGGTAGTGCCTGATGTATCATGTGCTTTCTGGGCGCTGGTCAGGCACTCCTGTTTGTTTTATAGCTGCTGGACCTGAGCAGGATTCAGCTGCTGCTTTTTCAGAGTTTTTTTTGGGGAACACTGAGATTTCTTGCTTTTGGCTGGTGCAATTCCTCAATCCCCCTTCCACCAAGTGATGCCAGCAGACAGGGGGTGCAGAGCCCTGGGGTGGTGGTACACTTGGGCTGAGCACAGGGCAAGGTTGTCCTGCTGTTGGTTGCCTCCCTGATAGAATGTGCCCTCTCCTATCCCCGTGAGCGGGTGGATGTCAGAGTGCAAACAGCTCTCAGAGCTGTGGGGGTCCGTGGGGAGGGTGGGTTTGCACTGTGCTCCCCCTGTTTGGGAGGATGGTGTGATGAACAGTATTTTTGCTCTCTTTGCCAGCCCACAACGAAACACAGCTCAGCGTGGCAGGAACTGCGACCGGTCACTTGGCCGCAAGTCACAGAGCAGAGACACCGATGAGTCCCAGATGGTAAAGCCACCTCCTACACCTTGGATGGCAACTGTATGGGCAGAAATGGGGACCTCTCCCACAGGAGGCTTCTCTGCCAGTGCTGAGCCCCCCCTGCACCTTTCCCAGCAGATGCTCCTGTTCTTGCTGTAACCCTAAAGCTTCTCACTTGGCCCTGTGTCCTTGGAAGGGTTTGAATGAGGGAAAGTATCTGTACTCTGATACCAGTCCCTGTATCACCCAGCACTGAAGAAGAGGGAAGGGCTTGGCTCCGTATGGGAGTACATCAGCTATGGGGGTGCTGGTTTTGAACTCGGGCTGGATGCCTGCCCCACATGTAGCCAAATTGGGTTGAGAAGTGCCACCTCCCCCCCTCCCCTCCTTCATTTTGAGAAGGTGCTGAGATAAAGGCCGTGGCCAGAACAGGGTGATGGAGCTGACCAGGGCATGAGGACAAGGTTGGCAGGAGGAGGGAGTGCTAAAGGGAGAAACACTGAGCGGTAGATGATAAGTGTGTATGGAATAATGTGGGAGGAAGGTGGGAGTGTCTGGTCTCCCTTCTCATGAAAGAAAATGGAATAGTTCCAGCAAAGCTAAAAGTGGAAAATATGAACTAATAAGAGAAGATAAGTTACCCCAAAAAGGGTGACTAAACTGTGGATCTCACTGTCACAGGATGTTGTCAAGAGGTAGGATAATTAAAAAAAAAATTACCTGATATTTTAATTCCTCTGGCATTTGCATGCAGTAATTGAATTAACATTTTGGAAGAGATAGGAAGTGTATTTCCATAGGTGGAGAGACCTTACTACCAATTGCCTTAATTCTCCCGGAAGCCTCTGTCACTGACCGCTTTTAGAAAAGGGATATTTGAGTTAAAAACCCAGTAGGTAGTTCAGGTACAGCAATTTTGATGCATTCCAGATGAAGTATTAGGTGTAATAAGGCCAGTCTGCTTCAGGGCTTAGTGGTATTTCCTGGTAGCACTGGAGGGGGAGTGGATGCCGATGAGCCTGACCGACAAGAGGTGATTCAGAGAGCAGATCTGCTCCTCTCCTCTTTCCAGGGCCACCTGTGGGTTTTGTCACACAGTTCTCCAGAGCCAAAGGAGTGGTGGCACTGGCTGCTGGCACCTGTGATATGTGGGGCTGCTGGTGGGGTGGCCGCCTGTCCTGGGCAGAGGTGCAGGCAGCACTGTCTGGTGCGTAGGAAGGCATTGAGCAGAGGATTGCAAAGGTCAGCATTGTCTGCTTTCACATCAGCAATAATTACCCAGGTGAGGGAGGAAGCAGCACATTACTGAAATTAACAAGTGATGTTTAACCAGCAGGTGCTATCACAGCACCCCAACATCACTGAAACCCCCCTACAGCACCTGGCATGAAATCTTTCTTCCCTGTAGTGCTCCCCACCCTGTAGGGCTATTGATAAACCATCGTTTTTGAGCTAAATGCTGCATCTCAAGGTGGAATGGGAAGTAGAATACCCTCTCAGTCCCACTGTACCATTTGCAGTCGTAGCAACATATTTTGTAGCACCTGGAGATGGGGTTGGGAGCCCATTAGTCACTTTTTCGGCTCAGTCTTTTCTCGATGCCTGGAGCAGCGGTGGGTGGCGGAGCTGAGGAAGGGGCTGTGTGTGCCAGGGAACAGGCTGTGCTATCCCTGACCTCTGCTGTTGGAAATCTGCTATGACTCTGCAAACACCCACCCCGCTCTGCTGGTAGGGTGTGAGAGGCTCTTTCGGGGTCTCCAAAAGTTACTCCTTGTGCTGTGAGTTTGCCCTGGCTGTGCCACGTGGGGTTTGTAAGGAAAACTGTGCCTAAATGTTCCCGTTGCCATGCTCGAGAGGAAACAAGAGGGCACCCCTCATTAGTCATAGCTGCTCAGATATGCTCGTGTCTGTCGACGCAGTGGGCGGCAGAAGTTGTGCTGCGTGTCGCACCGCCCTCGGGCAGCGCCAGGCTGCTGGAGACGTCTTTCCTTAATTTTGGCCAATGGGCTTTGTCTTCATTCTTGGAGATGAAATGGCATCAAAGCCCTGATAAGGAGGGCTGGGAACAGGTACCAGAAGTTTGTCTTCTTATGGATCAACAGCGAGAGAAATAAACCCGCCCAAGACCATGGTGTTGAGGTGGATTAGATGAGTGGGGCGTGAGGGCTCTGTTCCCAAAAGCTTGACTGGCTGGTCCAACAAGAGACACAATCTCTTTCCAAGTCTGTCCTGGCTGGAGGTGTGATGGACATGCTAGAGGGCAGAGGGGCCCCATGCAGGGCTTGGTTTATGAGCACTTTTAAGTCACGTAAAGGAGGGTCTTGCAAGTGAACCAGTACCAAATGTGATTTCTTTGTCTCTTCAGCTGGACTGTGATCGAATTCTGCACGGGGTAAAGGGTGGAAGGATTTTCTGCAGCGAATCCTCACAACCAGTCTGTGGCACTGATGGGAAAACATACAAAAATGAATGTGACTTGTGTTCAGCTGCCATGTGAGTAGGCGGAGAGATTTCACTAATACAGGGCCATCCACCATTCCCGAGTGTCTTTTGCAGAACTGTGTTTGTTTTGATACATCATGACTCACTATCAAGTGTGTCCTCGGTGCTTTGCTGTTAAGCAAACATAGATCAAAATGCCTGAGATTAATCTGATGACAGCTAATTAAGATACACAAGTTGCCAGGGTCCCCTATTCCCTTTCTGCCCAATCACAGATTGTTTGGGGAGTAATAAATGCCACCATAAGCATCAAAGCATTAAGGAGTCCACAGAGGACTGTCATGCTGATGGCAGAGAGAGCTGTGGCATTGCAAGTGAATAATAAGCAATGTCTTGTCCTCCCTTTGCAGGAGAGCTTCAAACTTCATCACGTTAAACTATCAAGGCGAGTGCCGAGAGCCTGCCCCTGAAGTGGTAAGCGGCACACCACGGCTGGGCTGTGAACATCAGTCTTTTCCCTTCCTCTGGTGAAACTCCCCTTTTGGCACTGCCTCAGCCTGTGGGGATCAAATCCAGGAAGCCACAGTGGGGAGTGAGGAATGAGAAGTAGCTGGCACTTAGTCAGGAACTGCCCACTGTGTCCTTCAGCAGTAGCTGGGGGGTCTACACTTAGACCCTGCTGGAAGGTTAACTGGGTTAACTTTTCATTCAATTAACAGTGGGATAATTAAAGCCATGCTCTGCAGCTGCTCTTCAGCCACATTTGTTGGGAGGGAAGAGAGGTATTGGGGCCCCCATCTCTCTTCCTCCTTGCCTTTGTTTTTCTGGATGGGAATGTTGCTGAGGTGTGGAGGAAAAAGTGCCTCTTGCTGTGTGTAGTATCCCATTTTTCACTCCAAGTGCCTGCTGGGGAGCCAACCTGGCCTCTGCCATCTGCAGCAGGATCGTTAGAGCCCCAGGAATGGATGTTCATGGTCCAGATATTTATATGCAGGTTGAGACTTAGATTTAATATATAACCTGGGCATAGTCTCCGTGTTTTGCTTAGGCTGTATGGTAGGAGAGTGATGGGAAAACACCTGACTTTCCTCCTGGGACTTTGGTTTGGCTAGGAAGACCACAACTGTGTAAACTATAAATGGCTGCTTCCCTAAATAATATCCAGGGAGATGGTTGGGAAATCAAAATTATTCACTAGGTGGCATACTTTCGAGAAAGGTCTTGGCATCTTGTGCAATCCCACACAGCAGATGAGTTAAACATTTCTCAGTTGTGCTTTGTCTTTCTACCAGTGGAAGCTTGACAGTCTCCAACATTTGGATTTGCAGCCAGTGTCTCCCAGTTTGTGTCTGTAGAGTGCACAGGATGTCCTGTGGCACCCAGGGACAACTGTCCTCATTGGCATGAACTCTTGAGAAACTGAATATTTGTACCAAGGGAAATAGGTTTGTTCCCACTCTAAACCTGTAGGTGATCCAAATATTGAACCTGTCAAAGAGAAGTTCTGTAAAGCTTTGGATGGAGCTTTGACTTTTGAATAAGATTGTGGTATCCATGGGTTTGTAGGCAACAGGGAGCTATGAGATATGAGAGCAGTCATGCCATGCCTTCCTTTGCTCAGTGACAGGATGCCCCTAGATCCCCAAGACGCGAAAACTAAACATCCTGGCTCTTTTTCCCCTCCTCTGTAAAGCAGCAGGGTGCTCTAAACTTTGTTTCATTGAAGAAATTGTAGTGCAGAGAGAAAGAATTTTGCCTGTGATGGTACTGGAAGCCTTTGTGTCTTGATTTTTAGTGAGAGGGAGCCATTGTTGGCTTGTGAATTCTGGGAGCACAGGAAGACCAGGCAGTATGTGAGTCTGTTAGTGACTGTGCTCACACTGCCAGAGACAGAATGAGACTGGGTACACTGTGGCAACAGAAAAGTAGAGAGGATTCCCACAAAACTGTGCCTGGTCTGGAATTCCTTACTGTTTCATGTTTTACCAAGCTGTTACAGCTCTCAAGCCATTGCAATTAGAGGGGGATGCCATTAACTGACAGTCACAGCTTGTAGCTGTGTTAAGTACTTCAAGGAGAGTTGGATGCAATTAAAAGGGAAAGTGATAAGCTTTTTCTGAGGGGCAAGAAAAGTTAAACAAAAACCCCCATGCACAATGATTTATTCTTCATTTTTTTTATGTCACCTGAAGGATCAGACTGAAAATTTATGGGAGCTTATAAACAATGTACAGAGCAAAGCTATTTTCAGCACTGAAATTTGTGCTCACTTTCAGTGTAATGAATTTTTTTTCTGCTGAAGACTCAGGCACTGAATATACGCTACTAAAACCTGGAGGAAACCAGCTTCCAGCAGTGCTTTTGGCATCAGAAATAGATTTAGAGAGTTGGAATGTGCAGAATATGAAATGCTTTGGAGGAAGATAAGAAATTGTTACCCAAAAACTGTAATATTCCCTTGAGTTGTGTTTTTAATATATCCATAGAGAGTGCTGGGTTGCCTGAGAAAATGTGTGTTCAAGCTGCCTCATCCCTTTTGCCTGCACCCACTCCTGCCTGCAAAGCTGCAGCTGGATTTCCATGTGTTTCTGACAGCTCTGGTAACCTGATGGCCATCAGGGAAGGATGCTTGTAGGAAGGGATGGGAGCAATGTGGTTTGATAGAGATCTGATACTAAAGGGCGTTTCTGTGCACAGCTGAGGTGGAAAACCTTGCTGCAGAGTCAGCCTGTCCCCACTGGCCAGCGTTGGGTCTTGCCACCTTGCCTGGGAGGTCTGTGCTGTAACTGAATTCCTTTGATCCTGTTCTGCTTTACTGATGAGAAATGTAGGTCGGCATCCTGATATGTTTTTTTTGTAAGTTAACTGGCTGGTATGTCCTGCAGTGCCGTGTTACATGGATGAATTGATTGTGGGTCTTTCCAGCACATCTGACTTTTAATGCTGCATATCTTGCAGTTCCTCTACTTGTTTAAAGGTTTTTCCACAGATCACCCAGGCAGTAGTCACCAGTCTGCCCACATTAGTCAATAACTCAGGGAAAAAAGGGGATACCCAGTTTCTCCTTTTTTAATTTTTTAAACCTGTTTCTTAACAAATAGAAAACTCCTAGATGGGCAAGTCCCAGTTTCCTTACAATGCTCTCTGTTTTGCCATGCTGCTTTTTGAAGTGGCAAAATAAGAAAAGAAGACAAGCAGGACCTTTCCCAGTTAGAAAATAGGTGTGGAAAGCACCTAGCTTCAGGCTGAAATTAGTCTTGTTTTCCTCAGCTGGCAGTGGCCCAATCTGCCTGTCCTTGTGCCAGGCTGTGCTGGAGTTGTCTCATGTGGGCACTGAGCTGGCCTGGAGGGGCTGTCACACTGATACCAGTGTCACACAGCAGTGGTCAAGCTTGGGGATGGACTTATTTTTTGCTCTTCCTTTCCAGGAGTAGTGGAGTTCAGACTGCCAGCAAACACCAGGGATCAGCTGTGACCAAAGGTACGGAGAGAGGGGCAGTGACTTACTCCTGCTTGGCCAGCCTGTCCTTTGGGGGCTGTGTTTCACAAGGGTTGGAGTGTCTTACCTTGCTGGACACTCAGGGCTGGACACAAGCAGCAGGGCTGGGACAGATGGCTTTGCAGAATTCCTCCTCTCACTGCAGATGTGAGATGGAGGGGCTGAGTCTGTGGGAACTTGCAGTAGTGGGCTCTGCCCACTCCTTTTCCCCTGGCTCTGTTTTTCCCAGCCAGGCTGTCCCTGCAGAGCAGGGAGGATGTTGGCAGAGCAGCGTGCTGCTGTCCCCCATCACAGAGAGGCAGGCTGGCCAGAGCCCCTGCAGAGCATGGGGGCAGCTTTGATGTTTCCTCATGGTTCTTTCATGTCCCTTTGCCTTCTGAGACTATACTAATGAACTGTCTGCCCTCTGTCTCCATAGAGCAAGTAAAGGAAGAGTCGATGTTGAGCATCAGGGGAGCTGCCAAGTCCCCAGGACTGCCAGAGCTGCCTTCAACCCCTTCTGCAGCAAACGGGGCCCGTCCTTGCTCAGGTGGAGGGCGAAAGGCTGTGGGACTCCGTGGTGTCTTCCCAGGTCTGCCCTGTGCATGTCGTTGCAGTCTCTGCCGCCTCGCTGTGTCTTAACGTGCTTCTACAATAAAGATAACTCATCAGCTTCATGTCACTTTTCTTCACTAAGCCTTATGAGAGGGACACACGAGTCCCCACTCCGGCTTTACACCACGTGCTCCTTAGGCAATAAGCACCCTGAGGTGCTCCAGCTGCTGTAAATACCTGGCGAAGATGTTGGACCCAAGGAGGAAGAGCGTGGTCAAGGGTTTTGTGAGGAGGGACCAGGGGTCAGGTTCCTTCTGACTCATTATGGGGTCTTGAGTCAATCACTTCACTGCCCTATCAGCCCTTTTCTCCTGCCTGTAAAACAAACATTAAAAGATACTTACCTACCTCAGAGGGTTGTTTGAGATTTAATTGGTTTATATTTGGAAAGTTACAAGGAAAAATTGGTTTTAAAGCACCCTGTCTCTGGGCTGGCAGTTCAGTTGTTGCAGTAAATGTCCTCTTCCAGGCCTCTCATCTAAGGCACTTGGAAATCCAGACTACTTTGTTTTGAGCAATAGTGGGAAGTAGATACATCTTGAGTGGTCATGTCAGATGGTGTGCTAAACCCTGCCCGACCAAAGCTGGAGCTGGGGGCACATCCAGGCAGAATCTGAAGGTGTGAATTTGACCAGCAGTATTTCTTGCTGTGAGAGGGCAGAACAACTGATGGCACCCTCAAGGCAGCACAGAAAGCTTAGACATCGTGGTGGCCCATGGACTGTCATTGTCTGGTTCACCTTCTGCCTTGACCTGAACTTCCCTGTGGGCTCAAGGGCTCAGCCAGTGCCCATCTTTGGGTCCATCTCCTGCAGGGAGAGAAGGCTCATTCCTTTGGGGTCCTGGTGCTGGGGCAGATGCAGAAGCGAGAATTTCCATGGTATGAAATGGCTTAAGGTTTTTAAGGAAAGGTGTTGTTGTTTTTAGGTGTAACTGACCTACAGATAGTTCTAATTAATTTATATTCTGAAACTATGTTAAGATAAAACCAGGCCTTTGAGCTAAGGGTTTCCCTGGCTTCTTGGGGTCAGTGAATCTGGGAATAGGGTGGTATGCAAAGCAGGAGACACCGATGGTGGGTTAACAGAACTCTGCTGGCGGTTTGCACGTACTTCCTGTACTTTCTTTTATAGCTGTTACTTAAAGCAAATAGGTTCTTTATTTGTATAAACTTTATTTCAGGACATTTCCAGAAGACCTTGAATGAACATACACGGTGTTTGAGTCCATTTAGACCTGATCTGTAAACACTTTCTCTTGCAGATAAGGCTGGAATGTGTTTCTTTCACAGTCACTTGATTTTTCTTTCAATTTTGACAGGATTTTACCTAATACCAATTAATTTCACTCCCACCAAAGACGTAAAATTTTTTCAATTAAGTTATCAAATCCTTTAACTCTACTGCAGTTAATGAGAATTGATTTTAAACTCTCAAAATGCTTACGTATTGCATCACATTTTATTATAGCTGATAATAATAAAACCTGATTTTATTATCAACGGACTCTGACATAAGTGGTTGTTAGTATTTTTTACGATGATTTCCAATGTGAGCAAACACTATGATTTAGAAATAAATTATAACTGCCTCTTTCTACGTGGAAAATCCCCTCAGTAAGTAGAGTCATGTAGGGTAAGAGTCACCCATTTGGGGCTGGTTAGCTGTTTTGGGGAATGTAGAGTTTGTCTTAGAGCTGTGACGAAACAAGTACATTCTTGAATGTTATTTATGCAACCTAAGAATGATGAATGTCAGACAGTAAAAATGTGCTCTGATGATGTCTGCTCACTGATTCCAGCTAAAATCATGTGCAGGGACATCTACATGATTTCATAAAAGCAGTGCACAATTTGTGGCTTAAAATAAATTCTTGCAAATGAAAATCAGCGCTCTTGAAAGCTCCTATGATTTGTAGTGATTTCGAGTATTTAAGTTTTCAAATAATGACCCCTAAAACCTGCATTAAATATGCTTGAAAAGCAATGAGCTGATGAAGCCAGTGCCCCAGTAGCCTCTTCTGTCAGTACTTGAGCACCTTCTAAATTTTTCCTGCTGCCAGAAGAAATTATCATCCACAAAAATCGCAGCTGGTGATAAGGGATCATTAATCAGATTCCAAGCCTATCTGCTGAGAAGATGCAGGACAGAGACCTGCTAAAACTGCCTGTGTTGCTGTGAGCAGCAATACCGGCTCCATCCTGCTCCTGGCAGCCTTCTTGCTTGCTCTGTTCTTGCTTTCCACCCCTTTTTGCAGGTTGGTCCAAGGGCTGCTAGTGAGAAACAGTCCTGAGTGGCACCACGTGTGGTGGAGCTCCGGTGGGGTCTGCATGACGGAAGCCACGCATTGTTACTCCTGGGGAGAAGGAAGCAAAGGCTCATGAGGTGTTGGGGGTTTGCTACCCTTTCTTTTATGTTTGCTCTTGCTTACCCTTTGTGTTGCCCTTTAAAACTGTAACAAGGCCAAAACAGCCCTCTATGAAACTGGAAAGGTACCAGCGCTCTGGGGACTCTTCAGTTTGCTGTAAATTACACTTTATTAAGGGTGTTGCTTGCCAATAACCACAGACCCCATGTGGTTCACAGCAGTTCCTGAGGTTTTGCAGAACTGGCATTATGAACTGACAGTTCGGTCTCCAGCCTCTCACAGTGGTTGGGTTTTGGGCTAAAATACTCTCTGCAAGGACCTTAAGCCTCTTACTGTTTTTTTTTCTTTTTTTCATAGAAGGTGTCAGGACCTTATGCAATTCTTCAGGGTGTACAAGTACTGCTCTTGTATACAGTGAGGACTGTTGACTCTGGCAGATGCTTCAGCAGACCTTGAACTCACCGTGGTGTTTTTCAGTCCTCTGCAGTCTGTCCATTTGAAGCCTGGAAGCTCTGCCCACCTACTCCCTGCTGCTCTTGCAGCCACAGAGATAGAGAGCCCTGGCACGGCCCCATGGTGTGCTCTGGCCAGGGCACCTTCTGCAGTCTGCCACAGCAGTTTAGGGGCATTTGTTCCTTCAAGAACCAAGTGAGTTGTGACAGGAAGAGACTGGTGCTGTTTGTGCTGGCAAGCCCCTCTGGCAGACCTCTCTTTTCTGGCTCTCACTACATTCCTGTGATGCTCAATCCCACTACACAACAGCTGTATATGGGTAACTGGGGATTTCAGTGTTATTTGTCTTGATTATCACAATTTCTGCTCCATGGCCCATCTGCTTTCACACTGGGGACTGGTGAATGGGCCTCCCTCTTTCCCCTCTTTAGGGCTCCTGTTTGGCATCTGTTAGAATATCTGTCTTTTCCTGCAAGAGTCTCCCTACTACAGGGAACTCTCATCCATGCCATTTCCTTGGGATCTCCCTGCTCCATTCTGCTGCAAGACCCCTCCTGCTGCCCAGCTCTTCCCCTTGAACTGCAAGACAAGCACTTTCAACACTCATTTGCATGAAAGTGTGAGCAACTCCACTCATGTTGTTCACTGAAAACAAGATGTAAATGCAACTGTTTGCAAATTAAAAAATCAGGTCCTTGATGTAGAAGGTCCCAAAACAAACAGTTTAGTGCTTGGTGTAGTAACAGCTGCCTGTGTGGTTTGAGGATGGGAAGCATGGACAATATGCATTTATCTCTGACAAACAGGTGAGTTGGCTTTATTGTCTTCTTGCCTCCTTTCCCAGCCTGTGTCAGTGAAATTCTGCAGAAATAGTGACAGATGATTCACAGCTGGGACTAGAGGTAACCTGAGAGGCAGCAGAAGAGAGGAGTGGAATGCTCATGTACAGGGCTGCTTGGCCAGGTGGGATTTGCAGCAAGGGAAAATAAGCAAGTAGATGTCAACACAGCATCACTGCAAGTGGGGATTGCACAAGCAGAAGGGTGTAAACACAACCAAAGGTATTCCTGTCCCATGTAGGTGGGATGGGCTGCTGCAGCTTCTGTTCTGGCCTTGAAAGGCTCTGTCCTGATGGACAAATGCTTTGCTGAATTACTCTCTCTGAAGCAGGGGCTTGCTTGTAGGGTCACAGCATGGACCTTCCTTGTGCACAGGGCAGGAGCCCAAAGCTGAGCATTGTGTGCCTCGGCTGCACATGGGACAGCAGACACATGCTGTAGCTGTGGTGATGTTTTCTAAATCCTAGTTCCTTCTTTAGATCCTTGACAGGTGTTTGCTCTTCTGTCCCTTTACTCTGTCTCCTATTGCAAACTACTCCCCAAAACTAATCTTAGTTGGAAAAGAATTACTTTGCTTTTGACAGTACATGCCAAGTCAATCTACTTTAACTGCAGATTTGGTTTGCAAATAATATCTCCTTTCCTATAAGGTTCAGGTGTCATTGCTGTGGACATTGGCAGGAATTTGCTTGACCATGACAGCTTTTACAGAGCCTGGCAATTAAGTTGTCAAGATACATTTTCCACTGCCAGGAAGCATTAATGGATGCTGGTCTTGGCTGGAATAAGCCCAGAGAGATGGATATTGTAATCAGGATGAAAAGAGGTCCTTGTAGCTGAGGCTTGGATTGGTCCAAAGGTCCGGAGCCCTTGACACTTGATGGAACTGAGATAAGGGAAAGGGCAGGAAACGTGAGGCGGAACATCAGAGGGAAGGAATGAAATCAACGTATATGAATAGGGAGATGAGCTCTCATGTTCCTAGAGACTAATGTAGCAGGAAAGGCTGGCATTTGGAGAGACTTCAGCTTTGCAGGTGCACACTGCAAACTACTAATAGTAGCAAAGTTCCTGGATATGAAAGTAAATATTTTTCCATTAGGCAATCCCCAAAATTTTATTGTTGCGGATTTGCTTTTCAAGTGAGAAAGATGTTGGAAATGTCCTTCTCTTAGAAAATAAAACTGTGATGATTCAACACGAGCTCGCTCTGTTTAAATTATATCAAAAATAGATCTGCAAGTAAGGATTTTGATTACCAAGTACAGAATTTGAAAGATTAAAAGTTAGTGAGAAATCTGGAGAATTTAGGATCCTGGATGAGAAGACTACAATTGAGACCAATCCAAAGAACTGCCAAAAATCTCCTTACATAAAGGACAAAAGGAGTGTTCAGGACCAATCTAAGTTCCGTTACCTTAGTAGTGGGCAAACCTTAAGGAGATGTTTGAAGAAAACTAAAGATATAAAGCGTAAAGAGATAACGTACACAGTGAATTTTCAGGAAGGAAACCATGCGTGGGCTAATACCAATCTTTGCAAAGTTGGCTGACTTCCTAGGTAAAGGAAATACAGTACATCTAGTCTATGCAGACATTAAAGGCATTTGGCCTGCTGCCCTGTGGGATGGTGTCACTTAGGCTTTGTGAGGTGGGTCAGGG